CTATTCACGAGGCCGACTGCTGCATTTTTTTGCCAGATTTTTTCGTTTTGAGTGAAAACGCGTCAAATGAGTATATTATTATTGAGATTTTAAGTGGGGTGGAGTATTCTAAATAATTACCAATTTATTTTATATTTCGTTTTATCTAACATTGAGAATGACCCAAGTAGGGTCGAAATGCCGTTTGTAGTTATATTTTTGTTTTAATTATATTTTATTATTTACATTATATTGTTTTGTCTGGCTCGTAGCCCTTTTCTACATAATTTATTATTAATATTTTTTACCCACACTGCCCGTATCGCCCAGTTGATTGGTTGCTGCTTCCGCTGCTTGACGCTTGCATGTGAATACATCTTTACGTTTTTGTACATGCCATGGGCTTTAACCATTAATGATACGCATAACCTGAAAAATCGTCTATCGAAATGAAACAAGAGTTTTTATCCGCTTTTATCTATTGTTAACTCAATTTATTGCTGAATTTCACGCAACAAACAGTGATAATTAAAAGTATTGCGTACTTATGTAGTTTCGCTCAAAGAGCGCCAAATAACAATAAAGGCGGTATGTATTCTTCCTTCAATTTCATTTTTTTTGTTCGCGCCGTTACGAGACTTGTGATGTTTTTTACAGAAGAAATTTGGTGGAAAATAATATTTAATTTTTGTGTAATTTTTCAGGTTTTATTTTACTGCATACTCGAAACGTTTAGCTATTTTGAACAATGTTTTGAATTCTATACACATGTATTTTTTATGATATGTGTGCAAGGTCCCAAATCTAATTTATCTGAGTGTTACTCTGTTAGTCTACAACTGTGATGCAATACTGTGTTCCTTCTCATGAATCTTCACTTAATCTTCAACTTAAAACTATTGTAGAACACTTAAACTTATTCTACAATGTGTTCCTGTTTCTTGCTACCTCTTTGCAATCGTTTTATCGATAATTGCATTTTCTTGCTATGTATTTCCTGTTTCTTCTGAAGTTTGTTAACTTTTATCTCGGGCAACGCTTTTGAAGCAAAAGATCGGATAAGAAGCAAAAAGACAAGATATAAAAATAGCAAAAAGTAGAAACAGAAAACAAAAAGTTTTTTCTTCGAGTCATGCAATGTTGCCACATTTATATTTAAATATCTTTAATGAAGTGGATATGGTAACAGCCTCTTGTGGACTCAAATTTAAATCTTGATACAAATTAAGTATTATAACTGCTTGATACAAAGTGTTAGAATAATTTCGAGGATGTATAGAAATATTTATATAAAACGGAGCAGATTGTCAATGAAACTTTAGAGTTTCTTTCACTAGAAGCTACAGATACTTGAGTATAAACTAGAGGAAAAGGTGGTATTATGGCCAGTGTATATATTATGGCCTCCCTTAATATCTCTGCTATTATTTAGCGAATTCTAATAATTACTTATGGAATTTGTTTAATAATTCGCTGTTACATCATGATGCTGATATACCATAATACTAATATTCAATAGCCAGCACTTATAATGCATTTTTATTTTCAAGTATTTCGAAATGTTTTCGAGATACATTTTAGCATGTAATTACTCCTACTTCCTCATTTTTCTTAACCTTGAGCATATTATCATTTAAGTATTTTTGAATGTGTTATTTTGTGTTATTATGTGCTATTTAACATTTTATATTGAGATATAACATTTTGTACTGAGGTTTTTAATATTGAGCAAGTTATATGCAAAAGTTATGTGTATATACATTCATTTGCATACATTTTAAAATGTTTTTTACTTTTTTCAATTCAATTTAATTGAATGTATATTAGATAGTAGTTCAACATCTTAACACTCGGACCGGGAAGGCGCTTTGTATTTAAAGTTTTAATATTTATATAGACGGTCTTGTTTCCAATCATATTAAATACTGTTTTCTTAAACAAAACTAATATTTTAGGGCTATTTTTATAGAAGGCCATATTAATCCATTAAATATCCATTTTTTTCTTTGAGTCATGTAATGTCACTACATTTTTATTAATAGTATCATAAGTAATAAATATTTCATAACTTTGAGTCCAGAATCGATTCAACAACATTTTAATGAATGTAATTGTCAAGTTTTAAACTTAAATATTGATTATTAACAAAGTTATTATGTAAAATGTATATGAGGTGTCATAATATCACCTTCCCTTTTAATGAACTGATACTACTAATACTGAAATATCTCGAAAATGATTGTGATCATTTATTTATTTGGGTTTCCCCCAAATAGGGCAAAATAGGAGGATTATACTTAAGCCTATGGCACATACAAAAAACGTAAGGCAATAAGACATAAGCAAATTGGCCAATCACAGTAGAGATTGTAAAGTGTCGTCTACAATGAACAGTAGCAGTAGTAGATACGTCGGGAGTAAGCTGGTTTTCCGACCCAGTTAGAAATGGTTGATCGATTAACGTCAAATCGATCAATGTGTCTGTAGACGACGCTTTACGATTTCCTTACTGCTTACGTCTTACTGTCTTACGTTTTTATGCTATGGGGAACTTTAGAGGAACACACTATAATTCTATTAAGTTTCATTGAAATTGGTGAGGGCCCCATTTCTGAGCTTATCCTTGTTAGAATTTATTATATATGAAAATTCTAAAATATTCTCTAAGATTTCTTATTTAATAAAAAATATTTTTTGAAAAAATATTTTGGACTTTTTCAGATTTCATAAGACTTTATCTAGTCATAAAATAAGAAAGCTTAAAATATTTCAGAGTTCACGTATATGAAGAATTCTAGAAAAATATGTAAGCTTTCAGGCTGCTTTTTCGATACTTGTTAAAATGTTTCAATAACAATGACGATAAAAAAGGCAAATAAGAGTCGATCCTTTAAAATATAAACGTATAAAAATTATTAATATGAGTTAAATACATATATAATAGAAAACTGAGATATTACATGTGTCAGCTGTTAGATTGAGCCATCTTCAGATATCCTCCTCTTCACACTTAAAATTAGTTATCATCGTCAGAGAAATAAAAAAAACCATGATATACTATAATATGTTTCAACTTATATAGCGATCCTAATGAATGTTATATCCTAATGTATATTGAATGTTGATCCTAATGAATATTGAGTTAATTATTTACTCATTGGTGAAAGAATCTGTTTTTTTATTAGATCTTCACAAAATTCTTAATAATGGGTCAGCAAATCGTTAGTGAGTAATTGGTGTCTTCCATATAACATTTATCAGAATTACTACATAAGGCCACTTTATGGGTTTATTCGGCATATTTTCAAGAATTTTTTTTCAGTAGTAAAATGCAATTAATTTAATCAAACTTTTTACACTTTATTTGTCACTTATTCAAGATTGTATAAAAATTTTTTTAAACGATTTCACGCATGCGCGGCTTCAAAATGGCGGCTGAAGTGAAGGTGGAAAAAAAAGTTTGGACCCTGAAATCTCCAGTTCTAATCGTCTGAAACAAAAAATCCAAAAAGATTCTTAAAATATATGTTAGTGGCTATATCCCGTAGTAGAATGAAACGATTTGGGCATTAAAAAAAAATGGCGGACTTTAGAATTTTTTCACCCCTTTTTTACCTCTAAAATCGTCTAAAAAAGGGGTTAAAAGTAAACGAAAAATTCTAATTCCACTAGGGGCTAAAACTACATAAATTCTGAACAACCCCTGAAAATTTCAGCCCGATCGGTTAAATAGTTCTCCCAAAATCGTGGTCCAAAGGTCGAAAAACGTAGTTTCGAGAAAAACGCGTTTAAAGTTTTGTGTTGACAATTGTTAGTAAAATTATAAAAAAAAGGACTTCTTCTAGGACTTCTTCTCGGTCGATAATCGATTTCTAACTATTTGTACACTAATTCTACATACTTAAGGTACCCGAAAATGATGCTTTTGGGAAATCGAAAATTTTGAAAAATAAACCCATAAAGTGGCCATAAGTTGAAACATGTTATATCATGATTTTTTTTTATTTCTTTGACGATGGTAACTAATTTTAAGTGTGAAGAGGAGGATATCTGAAGATGGTTCAATCTAAGAGCCGAAACATGTAATATCTCAGTTTTCTATTATATATGTATTTATTCATATTAATCATATTTATACGTTTATATTTTAAAGAATCGACTCTTATTTGCCTTTTTTATCGTCATATTGTTATTGAACTTTTAAAAGTCCTTGATTAGTTTATATAAAATGTTTCAATTTGTAAAAAAAAGTATAAAAAATGTTCTAAAAAGTTATAAATAGACATCGGATTTTTATGCAGATATTTTTTGCAGACGTGCACAAAATATTCAAATTTGCATAAATATGTAAATATGCTCAATATGCACAAATAAACACGCATTTTTAGCATGCTTTTATAATGAGACAAATTTCAATTTTTATGTTACTTTCCAATCTGCTTTTTAAAAAAAGTATGAAATTGCATAAGAATTCGATATCTAGTTATAATATAAAATTTTAGAAATTCTGAAAAATTCTGTACTTAAAAATTTTGAAATTATATAAGTTAAAATTCTTATCAGGGATTGCTAAATAAGTATTGCGACTTTAAATACAAAGCGCCTCTTCGGTCGAGTGTTAAGATGTTGAACTACTATCTAATATACATTCAATTAAATTGAATTAATATTTCAGAAATAAATTGAGAGCCGATGAATTTATCGGATTCACACAATCAATTTGAAACAAATAATCCCCCCCAAATTCTCCCAAATCTTAAAAAACTGTATTAAACTTATTGCGAAAAATATTGCCTCGGCCGGGAGTCGAACCCGGATCTCTTACATTCCGTGTGAGCGTCCTGAGCCTTTAGACTACCGAGACCTTAGCAACACTCTTCGCAATAACCGATATATATAGTGAGTTACGCATGTATAGGCGAGCGTATTCTAAACAATATGATTGGAAACAAGACCGTCTATATGAATATTAAGACTTTAAATACAAAGCGCCTTTTCGGTCGAGTGTTAAGATGTTGAACTACTATCTAATATACATTCAATTAAATTGAATTAATATTTCAGAAATAAATTGAGAGCCGATGGATTTATCGGATTCACACAATCAATCTGAAACAAATAATCCCCCCCAAATTCTCCCAAATCTTAAAAAACTGTATTAAACTTATTGCGAAAAATATTGCCTCGGCCGGGAGTCGAACCCTTTTTAAGATTTGGGAGAATTTGGGGGGGATTATTTGTTTCAGATTGATTGTGTGAATCCGATAAATTCATCGGCTCTCAATTTATTTCTGAAATATTAATTCAATTTAATTGAATGTGTATTAGATAGTAGTTCAACATCTTAACACTCGACCGAAGAGGCGCTTTGTATTTAAAGTCTTAATATTTATATAGACGGCCTTGTTTCCAATCATATTGTTAAGTATTGCGATGTTGTGAAATAAGCTCTATTTTTGTAAAAAAAAAATGTAACACATCTTTTTTAATCCTTTTTAGTGTTTTGTGCAGAAAATGGTAGATATAAAAAGTAATCCTCCCATCGGAGAAAACGACTCACATTACGAGTCGAGGATACGAGCGAACAGTTTTGGCCGAGGTTCTGGCACAGGAACGTCAACACCATCATCCTCTTCTGATTACATGACGGGGGAGGCAGACGATAGCTCTGACAGTAAGAGTACCATACCATTCAGCTTGAAATCAGTAGAGACCATGCTGTCATTATCCAAGGTATGTATAAAGTATAATTTAAAATAATATTTCTTTTCAAGATCGTTTTAGGTAATATCTTAGATGCTAGCACGCACGCACGCGCGCACGCACGCACCTTTCTGATTGGTTTATCTTAAGACTGTAACTTAAGATATTCTGAAGTATGAATTGCGCCAGACAACCGTATTAGCATCTTAAGACATTACTTAAAACGGTCTAAAAATAAAAATGGACTTATCAAATATGAATACTGGTCTAAATACAGTGGCATAATATAATCAACAATGAAAAAATATATCATATATATTCTATTAAATAACGTGATAATGTCTTTATTGAGTATTTAATTGTTCAAAATATTCACATGCTTTTATATTTACTTTGCTAATTTCATGTACAGCAGCTTTTAGTATACACTAACCTAAGGCCTATTCTTTTGGCTGGACTTTTGACACAAAAAATTGGTCTATTGACTCATCAATTGTTTCTTTCCACAGAAATCTTTAAAAGGCGAAACATTTATGCGTGATTTGAAGGGAAACCAGTTTATCTTTCTTCTTCTTCTTCTTTCCTCCTGAAAAGAAAAGGCAGAAAGATGAACTGAAGATGGTACAAAAGTTTAGCTAAAAAAAACAGGCCTCTTGTGTAATACAAGTAACTGAACTCATTATAAACGAATTTGTCCAGTATTGTTATACAATATTATCTTGTTATAAATATTAGAGAAAATATTGGAAATGATTGTTTTACCCAGGATGCTTCTGAAGAAGATCTTCAAGAGATGGTGCGCAAGTGCAAACTGATGGTGTTGGAGAGTGCCGAATGTTCGGATGAGCGTAAATGGCTTGTTCGACGGCTGATTGAATTGCGTTTGCGTGTGCAAGAGTTGCGTGAGACTTCAGATGAAAATCTCTTTGAAACGCGCGTAATTCTCGGTCATCACTTCGTACCGCAGAAGTACTATATTACCACGTCTAGTTCAGTTTATTGCGACCATTGCAGCGGCGCGATTTGGACGATGCTGCAGTCGTGGTACATGTGCAACGGTAAATGTTAAACAATTCAGCTCTAGACTGTTCTCTGATCAACATACATTGTGTTGATTAGCATAATTTCCAATGAGTTTAAATGATATCTTTGATGATTGTTGTTTTATTACGATTACACAAATTCGTTGAAAAAGTCTAATAAGTAGATAAAACCATAGTAAATTCCTGTTTTTATTAAACCTGTTTACGTTGCTTGAAATCTCCCAAAAATTTTGCGTTTAAAGAATTAAATTAAACAAGAACAAATTTTATTATTTTAAAATAAGATAAATATATTCTTAAAGTTTCCACGGGTGCTTTCTATATAAAAATTATGCGGTTTTCTGCGTGTGTAGATCCATTCTTGGAATGCCAACGTTTCTTGAACCTTGCAGTCCACTTCATCAGGGAGGAATAGCTTAATACTGAGCTGTTTCTCTGGGTCTACATGCCGAATCGCATCATCACTCAGCACAAAAACAGTCAGCAATCAACTCACTTGTACATAGAGTTTTTACCATCTCTGACGAAGAACATCTATAAACTCAACCACCTAAAACTAGTCTTACAGAAAAATGGACACGGCACAAAAAAGACAATCAAAATAATAAATAAACATGTAAACAAGACAACGATCTTTGACATACAATCAGACGAAAGAATCCTATCCATTCTTCTATATATTAAAAGAACTACAGATCGGATTGGCAGGATATTAAACAAACAAAATTTCCGAAGTATCTTCAGAAAGATAGGAGAAATTTTAAGAAATTCTAAAGATCAAAGACCTTTACACAGCTCCGCAAGAGTATACAAAATTATTCCTGCAGGCAAGTATACATTGGAGAAACCGGGAGAATGGTCAACCTACGGATAAAAGAACATCAACGTGATGTCAGACTAAAACACGTCTCGCATTCGACATTATCAGAACACAACATTGCAACAGGATATCAAATACTAGATGCTTTCCAATTGCTTAACACATCTTAAACACAAGAATGTACAAAGTGTAACATTGTGCATGATTCAATTAGAACAGAATATGTACAATGTGTACGGTTGAGATCCGTTTCGGATAGAGTTAGATTAAATGTAGCTTTTTCTGCCTGTATTAAACAAAAAAAAAAGTAAAAGTTCCGGCCATTCAAGGTCTTCTCTGGGGGTCTCAAGGTCACTCTGAGGTCTTCCAACCTCATTTATAGCTGCTGCAATTAGTAATATATAATTGTCACTAGAAAACACCAGCTTACACAACCGTCGACTGAGTACAGATGTGTAGTGTTCTATCGACGATAATGGATTGGAACGCAACTTGTGTGCACGAAAGTGTCTAGGGATATTGCAATTGAAAAGCACCCACTTTGACAAAACGACCATAATAACCAACATTACATCATACTTTCCAAGAAAGTATAGAGAAGCCATAGAAATACAAAAACACCCCAACAATCTAAATAGAGATAATGGCTACAATAAATAAAATATGGAAGATTCTCCCGCTTATTGAAGACCGATCGATTTCCTCCCCTCTTCCCCATCTCTCTCCTCCTACCCACAATTTTCTTCTTTCCATCACTTCAACAAGCAACGTAATAAAGGGAACGGCCGGAGGGACAGCTCAGTATCAAGCTGCTCCTCGCTCTGATGAAGTGGACTGCAAGGTTCGCGAAACGTTGGAATTTCAAGAATGGGTCTGGACACGGAGAAAATACGCGAAATGCACAATTTTTATAAAGATAAACATACTTTTTCAGACGTTAAAGAAAAAGAAAGCGAAGATACTAAATACAAAAAGTACAGGCAATGCGAATAGATTTAATATCCCGGACTCTATTCAATGATACAAATTGATAAAAACTATAAAAATGATTAATATATGTAACACATTTGTATAATTGTTTGCAAAAAATTATTTTTGCTTCAATTAGTAATAGCAAATTCGGCTCACATGCATTGGCTCTGTTTTGGTGCTGTCCTAACATGCGAGTGCAAAATCTCTTTGGTGTTATATCATACTGCACTGCCAGAAACATTAGAACAATATTTCTTGGACTCGTTCAGTTCGTTTGACTGGTAATATATTAGTACTACACTGTGTCACAGCTTTCATTTACTGAATACAACAATCTGAATGCACTAGTGCAGTATGCTCTATAGAATCTGAATATGTGGCACAGAGAAAGTTCGCACTAGTGCAGTTTGCCGAATCTGATATGAATTATAGCGATTAGAGAGAGAGAGAGAAAGAGAAAAAGAGAGAGGGGAGGAGGGATTTAAAGAAAAAATAATTAATTAGTCAATAATTTTTACAAATACATTTTCTCAACTTTATAAATTGCACACTGATTTGAGTTGTCGGACTCGAAACACAGTTGCAAACTGACGTTGAAATATTAATAATTCAAATTATTGTAGATTGATGATCAGTTTTAATAATGTGATATTAATAAACATCTTAAAAACATGTAAATAATTCAAACAGTCAAATTATAGAAAGGCCACGCTCAAAGAAGCCACGCTTGATGTTCGTGCTATACAATATTTATCTGCTACAGTAAAATAACAATTATGCAAACATACATACAGACATTTCAACCTTTTCACATCAGGTCCTCTTTAGTGTAATAAAACTTAACGCAAAATTTTACATTTTAAATTCTTAAGTCTCCTGATTAGTCCGACCATGTTGGAATTGTGATGTCGAAGCGAAAAATACACATTAATTTATGTTGCATTCTATTTGTAAATAAAGACAATTTGGATAAAACGAAATGACGAGGTTTTAAAGCACTTGTAAAAATCGATGAAAATTTCTTTCCTCCCTTGACAGTCAATAAATGGTCGTAAAAGTTACGTAAAGTAGACCTATATTTGGAAGAAACATACGATCTGACAGCTGTTGAAACGAGTAAAATATACGCTTTTACATATAAAATTCCAAGATAACTTTAGTTTCCATCTATTATTTTCATCGTTAATTGCGACTTTTTATAAGTACGAGACAAGTCACATTTTCATAATTAAGCAAATAATAATGAAATTGCATGCAATATAAATTTTGTTGTTAAAACTTTTTCACGCCTATAAGTTTAGCCATTTATTATGGCGAGGCACTGTGTACGCTTTCGCTGCGCCGAGAGTATATATACTTGTGCTTGTGTGTATGGGTACAGTTCAG